GGATGTTGAAGACTTTGCATTCCAGATAATGAAGAATTGAGGAAATATATTCTCTTCGAGGCACATAATAGTCCTTTGAGGATGCACCTAGGCTAGAATAAGATGTATCAAGATATATAAAGAGTTGTATCGGAGTTTTTTGTAAAATGCCTGACATGTCAGCAAGTGAAACCCTTAGCATCAAGTGCATTCCAGATTGCTATAACCGATATCCATTCCTAAATGGAAGTGGGAGCTAATTATAATGGATTTTGTTTTGGGGTTACCTTTGTCACCCAGTTAAAAGGACTCAATATGGGTAATTGTAGACATATTGGCCAAGACAGCTCACTTTATTCCAGTTCGAGCAGATTACTCAATGGATAAATATGCATAATTATATATAAAGGAGATAGTTCGGCTGCATGGAGTGCCCATATCGATAGTGTTCGATCGAGACCCAAGGTTTACTTCAAGATTCTGAAAGTCTTTGCATGAGGCATTGGGTACTCGATTGAATTTCATCACAGTTTTTCATCCACAAACAGATGGGTAGTTAGAGTGAACTATTCCGGTATTGGAGGATATGCTAAGGACATGTGTGATTAAGTTCAAAGGATTATGGGAAAAGTATTTTCCTTTAGTGGAATTTTCTTATAATAACATTTACCAATCGAGTATTAAGATGGCTTCGTATGAAGCCTTGTATGGGAGAAAGTGTAGTTCTTACACCTCTTCGTATCAGGTACTTCTTAAAATTATAGGACAAATTTTCTTAAGGGGAGATTTGTAATACCCCCAAACATCGGGTCAGTGACTATAATGAAAGGATTTAAAATTTGGATTATTAAATTGAATAAATGGTAAAGTATAAGAAATGGTTTAGGAAATTGTGCTTAAGACTATTTAGTAAGAATAGAAAAATGGAATGGCATTTTGGTCATTTAGTGGGAAATGAATTTAAAATTCTTTTTACTAGGGATATTTAACAGTTAAAAAGGGGAAAGTTGGATAAGCAAAGTTATCTTCTTTTTCTCCTTCTTATTGTCCCGTGCTCTCCCTATAGCCAAAGGTAAGATTTCTTCAAGTTGGTTTTTCCTTTAGCTTATGGGCTGGTTTTGAAACCTTAAGTGATATAGAGGCTTAAGGAAAGTTCAAGGATGATTAAAACTAAGTGATTAGTGAATTATTTGAGATTTAGGAAAATGAGATTTTGAGTGATATGATAAAATATGAGTTTTTATTGAAGTTTACAAGTAAATTTGACTTTTCAAAGAAGTAAATAAGAGATTAGAAGCCTTAGAAGTGATTAAAAACATGTATAAAAAATTAGTGTGATTCTTAGTTTGCAGTGTTCTTTGGACATTTTAGATGTTATAAGAAGATTAGTGGTGGAAAGTTAGTTGAGTTAAGTGATGATGAGTTTAATGGTATGGTTGGTGATAAAATGAAGGGATTTAAACGAAATTTTGGGTAAAATTGAAATGAAAAAAAAATGAAAAATATGGGTAAGGGTATTAGTACTGGAAGAATAATACCGATACTATAGGGTTAATTCGAGGAAATATGATGAACAATATCGATATTGTTGTGGGTATCGGTACTAAGAGGAAAGTATAGATACTATGGATTCCAGAATGAAAAAATGGTATTGATACTGAATGGAGTATCGGTACCATAGTATAGAAGTATCGATACCATAGTAGGGGTATCGATACTATTAAGCCTAGGATTTTCAAGATAGGATGAATTTTAACAAAATTGAAAATAATAGTACTTTTGAGTATTATTAAAAGTATAAATGTTAGAAAGTATACTTACATTTATATTATATTTGTAATTATGGATGCTTGTGTAGATCGTAACCAAGCTCCAGAGTCAAGCAAGAAAAAGGGCAATGATAAAGTTGCCAAATAGTCGGACATCCTTAAAGCATACTAGTGAGGCATATCAGGTGAGTGCATTTATTGGAATTATATGAGATGGGGATGACTTGCGATGAGTCAACCTCGAATGTATGATTAAAGCATGTTTTACAGTATTTGGATATATTTTCATATTGTTTATGGAATTGATTCAAGAGTAATTGTAGTGTATGAATTGCTATAAAATGAATAGATGAACGTTTCTTTTGTGTAATTTGCTAAGCTGATTGAATAGCCCATTGTATGTGCATTGAGAGGCATAGGTGTATTTCGACATACTTTGCGTATGATAGTTATCGATCGATTTTGATTAATGAATAACGGTGCATTTTTGTATTAGTATTATGTGTACTTTCGACACTAGATGTGCAATCATGGTATTCATAATGAGTTTATGAATTACCATTTCTATATACAATTATGTATAAAAATTATCGATTGATTTTCTTTAATGCATAACGGTGCATTTTCATATTAGTACTATATGTACTTTTGTCACTATGAGTACATCCATGGAATTCATAATATGTTTGTGAATTTCCATTTCGGCACTTTAGTGCAATGCATGTACCTTGCATTCTCATTTGGCATACATTAAGCAAATAAAGGATAATTGGGAAAATATTGATAGATATGTATGCTGGGCATACTAAAAATAGTTTTGATGACTATGTGAAAGAAACTTGGGTTACCATAATGGTTTTAATTATTCTTATGAATTATACGATTTAGTTTGTATTTTGATAGTCATGATATACTTGTGTATGAATTACACTTCAATTTTATTTTTATGCCTTACTAAGTAAATATTTAGCATGTGTTAATTTCACATGTAGGAAATAACAAACACTAGCGAAGTAAGCAATGCAGTGGACATCATTAATCAAAGGTTTCCTCATCTGTAACTGTGGGACTTTTATGTCTACTTTTGATAATTAGATGACATGTATTTGAATTTATGAAAATACTCTGGAATGTATTTAAAGTTATAATTTTTGTAACATGTTACATCGAACATTTTATTATTATTATATGAAAGTGTTTTTTTTCGAAACAAATTTTTATGGGTTTACAAATAAGGAAATGTTTTTTATTAAAAGTATGTGACACCTATGACTTGTATACGGAAACACATCTGAGAAATGGGTGTTACAATTCTAACATGTGATTTGAATTATAAATGTTGTGTAAATGATGCTCATTTAGATTTTGTACTTAAATTCAAGATCAAACAATATTAAATCTAAGGAGAAGCTTAAGGATGAATGTGGATTTCTAAGGAAAATTTATGAGGTAAGGACACCAGGTGAGTGCATATTTAATTTGTATTTACGATATCGGGCAACATTGGCTTGCGATGAGCCAGTGATAGAGTTATTATGGTAATAAGTGACTCCTAAATGTTATGTGAATTGTGAATCATACATAAATGTTCATTTGGTAAGCTAATAGAATTAGTGAACAAGCTAAGGATGTAAATTACTGAAATCTGCCTAATTTGTGATCTAAATAGTAAGTTTAGAAAATCACCATAAACTATAAAGAAGTGATTAGAAGATGATTTTTATACCATTGTATTTTTATATTAGGCTAGTTTTGTTTAAAGCAAACGGCTACTGATTTCAAGGAGTATACAAAAAGATATGAATTTTTAATCTAGGATAGGTCAGAAAATGGGTAGCAGATTCTGCTAAAAACAGTTTTTGTAAGTCTGCTTTGAAAATTCACTATGCATTATACAATTTGAACTAGAAGAAGTTTCTTATATGGTTAGATTCATATTTGAGTCTAGTTTCTAGTGGTATAAACATAATTTTTTTTAAGTGTGTAGATTAATATAGAATAATATTTCTTTGAAGGTAGTGCAAACTGCCAGAATATGAATTATATTAATATATGGATGTTTTATACATCATTAGGTAAACTCGCGATGAGTCAACATTATTTATATTGTCATGATATTTATGTCATTCATTATATCGTTGACATGTTTTAAATATGGCAAATGCTCAATATCTATAAATGCATTGGTCACTAGCTTATACATGTTGTATGCCATGAACATTATTTTGGGTATGAACTGCCCAATGTTGAATTATATTAATATATTGATATGGATGAAATAATTATAAACTATATGCCCAAGTATGTTATTGAGGGACAGTGGTATAGTTGGCATGCCATAGAGTCCAGCAGCAGGCTGCATACTTGGTTTAGCACTATAGTGTATATAAAGGACACTTAGTGCATATGGTGGGCACAACCTTATGTGTATTGGCACTTCAGTTTATATTTGACTCGTGTATGCAAGGTCCTCATAAGTTTACTTTTGGGTTATGGTTTATTGGTTAATAAATGATAAACAAGTGAATAAGCTTATGAGCTTGTGGAATGAATGACAAGTATATGTAAGAAATTTTATTTGTGGTTTATATCACACTAGTAGAAAAAACCCCTTTAATGACGCGCATTGCGTGTCATCTATGGGTGCGGATGACACATAAATGCCTGTCGTTGAAGCCACCGACATGAATTTTTGATGACGCGTAATTGTGTGTCATAAATCTATGACGCGCATTTATGACGCTCATTGCATGTCATTAAAGCCCCCTTCATAAATGAAGATGACACACATTTATGTGTCATAAATTTATGAAACGCATGTATGACTTACATTGCGTGTCATTGAAGCACATGTCATTAAAAACGATGACACACATTCTTGTGTCGTGATTGTATTTCGTAAATTATATATATATATATATATATATATATATGTAGATTGACAAATAATCAAACTAAATCACATTTAATGCCTCATAATACTAAATATATATATCGTATTAAATATAAGCAATCCATTTGCATATAATATATTCACATTAAGTTATAAAAAATATTGTAATCATATGTGTCGATACAAAATATCACGACATAATAAAGTTTGTCACATAAGATTCCTCAAAACCCTATACTAATATAATGGGATTATGGTCTGTCAAAATGAAGAGAATAAACTATAATTCATCTCTTCGATATGCCATTTGCTATAATAAATAAAATGCATGTGAACAACACAAGAGAAGAAACTATCACCTAAGAGGCTGATGTGTATCCGTCGTGATGCGCCTTTTGCCATCTCCATGCAATCTGTAAACTCTCCTGGAGATCGGTAAATCGAGCTATCCAATTCAGCTCTCGCCTTATCTTAGTTGGATCACTAAACACTTTTGCATAGTCTCCAGGTCGGCGGGGCAGATAGTCGACTTTGATCTTCACCCCAGTGGCTTTCTTACATGCCTCCACAAACTCCTTCACAGATCTACCTCTTCCGGTGCCAACATTGTAAATTCCCACTTTATGGGGCTTTGCGTTTTGAAGAGCTTTCACATGAGCATCGACCAGGTTAGTAACATCGATATAATCACGAATGCAAGTCCCGTCGTGTGTTTTATAGTCCATTCCCTTGACCTACACGAAAATCACAATAACCATAACAAAGTTCACCAAAATCAATTTGAAACAATAAAGGCAAAACTATGGATATCTTGGGTGACAGGTGTGATAACATTATAAAAGTTACAAGAACAAAACAAACATGCAAAAAGCACATACAAAGTACAGTTGTAGTAATTAATATACAAATTATTTTATCATATACACAATCTTTTTCACTCGAGAAAATGCATCATTGTTAAACATGTGGAATGACAGATAATCATAGTTCAGTCCAAATCTTTCAAATCTTCAAGGAGCTCTAAGATCTGCCTAACGTATTAGGTAGATGCTTGCAAAGGTGATGTCAACATAAAAGAAAATTAAATTAGATACACAAAGCATCCAATTATGAAAAATCATCATCTATAACAAACTTGTTTCAAGGAAAAGATGAAAATTTAGGCATTATAAATGATCATAGATTTTTTTTCTAGTAGCTGTCAAACTTCAGAATCACTTATATATACTTTTGATTCTAATGAACTTTACTTGATACTCGCATACAGAAAATCAATGATTTGATTGAACTCATATTTGCACTTCAATATACTTTTTTGCACTTCCCATTGTTAGGAAGATAATACATTTACAAAATTATCCAATTTCACATCAGCAATATATACATGGCCTTCAAGAAAGTATCTGTGGTATTCACAATCTTCCTAAAATAATGAAGTGTTCTATACATTGTTTGTACATGACTAGTTGTTTACATCTTGACCCTAGGTGTAACTGAAATACGTAGCAATCATTAAAGAATCATAGTGGAGGGATAAAAGGAATAACACACCTTAAGACCAAGAATAATACCATGAGCTGCATCACCTAATCTTCCTTCAGGTCTGGATCTGACCTGATCACATTGAAGTATCTAAAATTCACAAAAATATATGAATCATAACCTCAGCAAATTCCTTTAATGTTCAAGTTTTTAATAACAATAAAATATATTAATAGGAGAGCATATTGTTGGACTATCAGCAATTGTGGTCAGAACTCTACACATTGAATATGATAGTAGAAGCCCTTCAAGGTCTACAAAGTTCATCAATCCTAAATTATTCTGAACTAAGCTACCTTCTATGGTTTCCTTGTAATCTAGAACTACAAAATGATTGTGTTAAAAACATGACTATGTAGACCTTGCATGTATGTTTTATATATGCAGCAGTTGGCTGGCAGAACAATGAAAACTTATCAACTAACTCCCTCAAATGAGAAAGTATAATGATCTAAAATATTTAGTTTTGGTTTAAGGCATGGAAGACTTCTGGGATGCTAAGTTGATAAAATTATGCATATTGAGAAAAGAAAACATGGAGTAAACTCAAAGCTCCTAAAATTAAACTAAAATAAAACCTTAGGATCATTACTGCCATGTCTGAATTTTTAGAGAAATCCATGATGATATCTTCTGCCATCTTCTTAGCTTTCTCATATGGATTGATTGGAACCTGAGTTGGTTCCAAAACGAAGGTCAATTTCCTTGTAATACAACTCTATATTAATCCAAAAATTGATGAAGGTTGATCCTTTAATATTTGGCCTCAAACAAAAATTTAAAAAGTTATCAAGCATAAAACCAAGTTTGCAACGTGCCTGTGGGGTTTCTTCAGTGATTGGCATCTTCTCAGGCTCCCCATATGTGGCACATGTACTAGAATATATCAAAGTCCTAACACCATGAGCAGCCATCGACTCTAGGACCACCAAGGTGTTTGAAGTAACGTTGTGATAATACATACAAATCATGGGAATATATAGCATAAAGAACATAATTTGGAGATTAGTTTAAATCAAGCAAAAACTTCCCAATCAAAGATCAAGGAGTTAATTTTAAATGTCAAAAGATAAATGATTTTTAATAACACAGCTAATGCAAATACAAGAGGACATTTGAATGGTGATTGTGTTAGAAAAAATCCATCTAGAGAACGAATATAAAAGTTGAATTTACCCGAAACCCATCAAGGAAATGAAAAGCAGGAATTTCATTGCAGATACACCGAAGGAAATGAAAAAAAGATGAATTTACCCGAAAGTAAAAACAAAAGAACATTAATGGGACATTGAAGGAGGCCAAGAAAATAAAAAAAGAAGGGGGGAACCCTGAAGAAGAACCCATTTCCTGGTCTTTATCGAGAGGGAAGAACTGCCGGGTCATGGGAGCCGGTTCACTCTCCATGGAGCACTCTTCTTCTTCTTCGTGAGGCACCGAGAAATAAAAAATCCTGTTACTTCTCTTCTTTAACCCTGCTTTAGCTCGCTCACCATCTTCTTCTTCCGATCCATCCTCGACCCCCCAAAGCTGAAGAACTTGAATTCGACATGGATCCGACTCATTTTCCCTTGTCTTCATCACCGTCTACGGAAGTCTTCTGCGATGAACAACAGCCCTCGGATTCATCGTCTCTCAGTTGTTGATACGGTGAGTCATTGAGATCCCACATTTTCCCCTCTTTCTCAACTTATAATCTCCACCGAAAAAAACAACAAACTTAAGAAAATAGCCTCACCAAAAAAAAGAAAACCCAAAAAATTCAGAGAGAAAACTAGAATTGATTAACGAGGGGGAAGAGAAGCGGGAAAGAATGAAAATAATGGGGGGAAATTAAAATACGACTCCTAAAGATGATACACATTTAAAACTGTACTCCGTGTTTTTGTAAAATTTTTGGATTATGACTATTAAATATGACACACATTATTGTAAGTCATAAATCGTTCAGATTTTTAAAAACATGACATTTTTTTAATGACACACATGTTTTGCAAATCATAAACTAGCATGTGTCATCGTTCGCATGTTATTAAAGGTATATTTTCTTATAGTGTCATGTTAATATATGATAACATGGTTGAAATGCAGGTAAAGTGAACATAATGCATCGAGTAATATTATTTATTTATATTTATGTGTTGTATTACATTGACTATTACTAAGATTATCTCACTAAGTGTATAATTAGCATGAGATGATTTTCACGCATAGGTAAAAGAAAGCGAGAGGAGTAAGGAGCTGAGCTTGACATCAATCATCAAGGAATATTTACATGCAACAATAATGACATCCTATTATGTTCTAAATTTTCTAGCTGATATGTATAGGAGTAAGAAATGTCTACAAAATAAAATTTATCGTATGAATAAATATTATGTTAAGTTATGTTTTATGTATTAATTAATTGGATTTTAAAATTAGATAGTTTTATTTATTATATGATCAGAGCAAAACTGCATGTTACTGCCTAAAACTGGATTTGAATTAGAAGTCAAAATATGACATTTTGATTTTTTTTGTGATTAATTATTTTATAATAAATGTTAAATTTTGGAAACTTTTAAAAGAAACAAAATTTTATCCATTCTGGGTTAAGAAATGTTTCAATTAATTAATGTGTCATCTTTAACTCATAATAGTACACGTATACAGGTTAAGGCTGTTACAAGTATGATCTAAAATTTTACGTGCATCGGATGCGTACCTGATCAGACAATATCCAGATATTTCACAAGCAGCGGATGATGTTCATAATGTTAGAGTAACTCGGGTGTCCTGTTTGTTTCTCGAGTGTCATACAAAGCCTAATCTTATGTCACCCTAACTTATTTGATTTCTAGGTGTGTAATTAGTTACTTTAATTGTTCCTACTTGTTTTCGGATACATAAAGCTTGTACGATCTTGAAACACACAAACTGATTGAACCAAAATGCCCAAATATCAATGATGGTATCGATACTATGTCAGCATTATTGATACTAACACTTGGGTATTGATACTTATTTGATGTTTTAAAAAATTCCTCGGTATTTAATCTCCTATGAGTATCGGTACCAAAAATGGCTACTAGTATCGATACTACCCTTGATACTTCCTTCAAAAAATGCCTTGTTTTTACCCTATATGAAGAATAATACCGATACCGACGGCCTAAAGTACCCTATTTTGGGCATGAAATTGCATCTAAATCTTACCCATTCACTCCCTTAAGACTTGAAAAGCTTATTAAAGTATTTTTTAAGGCTTTAGAGGTCAAAAGAAATCATCTTTCATGCTTAGAAACATCAAATGCGAATTTTACCGTGAAATTACTCTAGAATTCATCATGAGCTAACAAACTATTTTTGCACATACAATGACCTACATATGATATGGTCAAGTTAGAATTGAGTTACCTTGATGCTAGGTGACTAAAAAGAGTCCTTGAATCACCCAAGAGTTAGCTTCTCCTTGCCCCTTGCCTTAGAGCTCTCATCCTTCTCTTGCACTAATCAAAAAAAGTATAATGAGTTTTTAACTCATTTTAAAACTTAAGGGAGAAATAGAAACATTTCTTACTACTCAAAACACCCTAAAAATGGATTAAAACCCCCAAGGTTCCCTAAACCCCATTAAAACTCAGATTTCGAAAAACCAAGTCAAATCTTACACATGAGGGCTTGAATGGAAGCTTGGGAGATGTAGATTGAAGTTCTTACCTTGGAATTCTCAAAATATGACTAGAAATCTTAAAGCCTTAATCTTTGTGTGGGTCTTGGGGAAGAAGAAAGAGATGAAGAGTGAAGATGAAGAGATAACAAAGGGGGTGAAAAAGAGGAGTGATTTTTCATACGCGATATCATCAAACATTAAGGATTTTCATCCTTTGATTCTAAAACTGGCCTAATTACTTTCCTAGTCCTTTCTCCTTTGTTTCAAATTCATAGACACCATTTTTAACACCTATTGGGTTCATCTAAGGCCCAAATCAAATTTACTTGGGTTTAAAACTTCACAAGCTAAGGGTACTTTATTTCTTAGGTCTATAAGAATAAACCCCTAACCCAAAATTTAGGGCGTTACAACTCTTTCCTCTAAAAAACAAATTCGTCCCTAAAATTTACCTAAATAGAATAAGTGTTGGATACTAAAGTTGTATATCATCTTTGGGTTCCCATGTCACCCCATGATTCCTCCAAAAAACCTTCACTAACAGTATCCTCTTGGTCCTTAGTTCCTTGACGTATTTGGCAAGGATTCTAATAGATTCTTCCTCATAAGTAAGGTCTTCGAATGGGTATAACATGGGACGAATTGGATCATTATCTTTGAAGCATGGATACGTGAAATACGTTGTAGATACACTCAAGATCCAGAGGTAACACTAAATGATAAGCCACTGGCCCAACTCTCTCTAAAACCTCATATGGTCCGATGAATCATGGAGTTAATTTACCCTTACGTCCAAACTGAAGTACCTTTTTCCGTGGGGAAACCTCTAGAAATACCTTGTCTCCCACTATGAACTCTATATCATTGTACTTCATATCTACGTACTATCTATGTCTATTTAAAGCCTCTTCAACCGAATTTGAATCAACTGAACTTTCTCTTTGGTTTCTCAGATCAAGTCAAGACCTACGATCTTACCTTTACTAAGTTCTGTCCAAAACAATGGAGTTCTACATTTACGTCCATACAAGGCTTCATACGGAGCTATCTGAATGCTTACATGAAAATTATTGTAGTATGTGAACTCCACAAAAGGGAAGTGATCTTTTCAACTACCTTCAAGGTCCAAAGAGGTGCATTAAGCATGTATTCCAAAATCTAAATAACTTTCTCAAATTGTTCGTCTGTCTGAGGGTGGAAGGCGGTACTAAAGTGAAGTTTAGTACCCAAAGTTCCATATAGTGCTTTCCAGAATCGAGAGGTGAAGTGCGGGTGTCTGTCAGATATGATCAAGATAAGAACTCCATGCAACCTCACAATCTCAAGAATGTATAACTGGGTCAACCTTTCAAATGTATAATATATCCAAATCAGAAGAAAATAAGCCTATTTGGTTAAACGGTCTACTATAACCCACATTGAATCGTGCCTAAACCTTGTCATTGGTAGATCTGTTACAAATCCATGGTCACTCGCTCCCACTTTCACTACGGTATCTAAAGCAGCTGCAGTAATTCTATGGGAACCTGGTATTCTACCTTGACTTGTTGCATACTAAGCACTTGGCAACAAACTCGGATACTTCACTCTTTATGCCCGGCTAGCAATGCAATTTGCTACCTGGATGGAAAAAAGGGGTTGTAATGCACTTCATGAAGGATCTTGTCATGCAGTTGCTTATCTGCCGACACACATAAACTCTCTTGGAAGTACAATACACTCTCATTGCGTAACTCAAAACCTGGGGCCTCACCTCGAAGGACCTGCTCTACTCAGGTTTTCAACCAATTATTCAAACTTTTAATCTCTTAACTTCACCCACTAATTCGGGTTCGACCCACAACTTGGCTAACAAACAACCTGAATCATTCAAACTTAGACATACTAGTAAAGCTCGCAACTCTACCACGGTCTTCCTGATCAAAGAATCTATAACAACGTCCGCTTTACTCAGATAATAGTCGATCACACAATCATAGTCCTTCAGCAGCTCTACCCATATCTATTACCTCAAGTTCAACTCATTCTGAATAAGAAAATACTTAAGGTAATTCCTTTAAATATTTAATGGTAAAACCACTATTGTGAGTTCCAAATCGTGGGTAGGATAATTTTTCTCGTGATGCTTTAGCTTATGAGGTACATAGGACACAACTTTCCCTTCTTGTATCAAGATGCACCCTAAACCATTTAATGACACATCACTAAATACGATTAAAACTCTCTTGGAACTTCTGGCTCCATATGAAAGGGACTCTTCTCGAAGTAACTTGGTTTACAATGCCACAATCATTGAGAAACCCTTGACGAAATGACAGTAGTACCCTACAAGGCCTAAGAAACTATGCATCTCGGTGACATTCTTAGGCGGTTGCTACTCTAACACTGTCTGAATTTTTTTAGGGTACTCAGATGCCATAAGCTGCTACTACATGACTCATAAATGCAGCCTCTGTCAACTAGAATTTACACTTCCCAAACTTGGCATATATGTAACATCCAAAAATCAGGGTTAATGACTAAAATAGAAATTTTGAAACTTTGAGGTATGATTTCAAAAAATAAAAAGTTTAGGGACTTATTTGGGAATATTTTATGAAGGATTGTTAGTAAATATTCAATGAATTAAAAGGTAAATTGGTCTTTTTACAAGAAATATTTTTTATCTTTCTTTTAAGGGATATAAAACGCGGGGAAATGGGTAAGAAAAATGAAAGATTTATCCAGAGAGTTCTTCTTCTTCTTCTCCAGCCGTGAGTTATTATAACTAAGGTGAGTTTGATTTTCTATTAGTTCTTTCAATTAAGGATTGGTTTTGATTAATAGAGCATAAGGAAAGACTATGGAAACTTAATAGGATGAAGAAATTTAAAGAATGATAAGTTATAGAAGATTGAATATAAAGAGTTTTTAAATGAATTGTAGA